AAGAAAATAATAAAGAAGAATAGTTACATTATCGACACGACGTAGTTGTGGACTACTACTTAGTTCGTACGGCGCCCGTTGGCGCTACGAGGAACCCCCCCGCTTGCCCTCCGATCCCCGCGCCTACTCCGCGAATTTTTGACGCCGTGTGTATATAGAGTAAAGCATATAAGCCGATCAAGATGTACGCTACTGAAATCAGAAAGTCACACTCTCGCCATCTAGTAGCGGACTACCTCGCGGAAACCTCACGCGGTAGATGCGCGAAGCTACAGCCCAGCTGTGTCGACAGAGCTGACTAATCTATGCTTTACGAGTACTCAGTGGCGTGTGTGTGTACAAATTATAGTTTATTTCATTAATGAATATTCATACGATTTCTCCCGCCTCTCTGATGTCACGACTCGATACGTTTGCAACGAGCATGAAGAAACTTCGAAACGTAACGGTAAACTATGAATAGCAATATAACTACCGATCGAGAATCGTCAGCCATCGAAGGTTCCGTGGTGTAGCGGTTATCACGTCTGCTTTACACGCAGAAGGTCGCCAGTTCGATCCCGGCCGGAACCAATTTTTTTTTTTTCCAAAATATTTCTCGCTCCTTCTCTTATTTGTTAAAATTTTAGAAGACGTAAAAATAAACACGCACGCGTCTCGTTTCGCAAAATCGGGGTCTCGCGCTTGTATGTAAACGTTTTTTTAAATATCAATTTAGATTGCAAATAACATCGCTCGAGTACGCACTTATCGTTTCATGTGTGCAAAGTATGTTCATACAAAGAGCTTCAAAAGAAAAAGCTCATAGAACCTATCTCGGGATTATCGGTTACATATTTCACCGGGAATATTCTCCGCGTGAGTATCAGATGCGAGTATCGGTTGTGTACTTTTCATGGAATATTCTCCGTAAGCACACGGATGTATGCGCGCGAGGCGCATACACACACAGATACACACCTGCGCTCGCCGCGCATCTGTGTGTCGACATGCGCGTGCTGGGTGGTGGTAAGTGGAAGCTCGGCCGCCTGGCGGGGGAAAGCGAGGAGAGACGATAGTGGGAGACGCTCCAACTTCAGTTCGTATTTGACGCGCAGTCGTTTAGGTGTGTCGTCTCGCGCGCGCGTGTTTTCTCTCGCGAGCTCGTCTTTCTGTCTCTCTCTCTTTCTCGTCCACCGCCAGTGTGCATTCTCTGCCCGCGCATAAATACGTTGTTTCGCTTCTTTCTTTATGTTCCGCGTTCGTTCGCAAATAACGTCGCGCGATACGTTCGCTGTGACCTTGTCGAAATTTGGAGAATCGGATCTTGCGCGCGGGACACTTCGCGCGAGCATATATCTCGGTCTTCCTCCTCTAAATACGTCGTCACGGGTCCGACATGCGTAGGAAGACGACGGCCGTGCCGGGAGGATCGTCGTCGTCGATCACGCCACGTATTTCCTGAACCCAATGTCCGGAAGCTACCCTTGGACCCGGAACCGGCGAAATGAGGTGAGTAAACCAATCGATATATCCCCCTCCTCCCTCGAGTTCATCGTGTGTCACAGACGATAGCCTGACCTGACTTCGAGCTTTGGAGCTTTTGGAATTCGAAAGAGGTCACGTGACACACGGACGAATTGTCTCAAAGCGATTGGAAACAACGCGCGACACACAAGTTGTAGCTCGTTTTAGATATATATCGTCGTCTATCGCGAAGATGCGGCGAAGAGCGACGCGATGTTCCAGTTTCCGAAACTCTCGGCACTCGGTTATTGATCGTCCTGTGATCCGAGGATTCGAGTCTTTATTCTCTCGCGAGTGTGCGATCGCGACTTTTTTTTTTCAAAATTTGTGCGCTACTTATTTCGAAGAAATGGCCGACTAGTTTCCGCGGTTGTGAAACTTTTATCATGGCGTCGACATCACTTTTCGCCGAACTTTTGCTCCCGATCGACGAAACATTAATGTGCGCTAAAATGCACAAAACTTTCGCCGGTAAGTGAAAAGAGAGAGATCAAACGGGAATGTAAAGCGATTATCGCATTACGGAGGAGTTTTTATGAATATTCGCGACGCTATTTCGAACTGCTTGAACGTTGTCGATAATCGCGTGGTTAATAATACAAAACGCCAGTGGTCTGCCATTGAAATTGTAACATTACTCGAGTGCTTTGCACATTCAATTAAATATTAAAAATTGAAAAACTATTTTCCAAATGTTCAACGGAATAAAACAATGGACAAAGACAATATCTTTCCTTTTGCAACAAAACTGATATCGAAGCGTTAAATCGAAATATTTTGTATCAAAAAATCTCTCACTTTTGAATATTTATATATTTACATGTAATATATATATTTATAATATTTACATATTTATATATTTTTATTTCGTACGTAAAACGTTACGCTTCTGATTTTTTCAGATGTCCGGTAAAGGCCGCACTGTGAGGAGGATGACGAGAATCCGCGTCGAAAGTGACGGAGCACCGATACGTGCATCGTACCGTGACACGAGAATGACTCCGCGAAACGATTAACGACGTTTCATTGTTGTTTAGTGAGCTTTTCGATCGCTGCACGAAAAAATCGATTATTATTGTTCGAGTCTGAGAGACTTTGGCGAGCGGAAGAAAGAACTTTTTGTTTCGAACTTTGTACGATGTGATTCAGGGGCGCGAACATAAAGAATAAAATACTTAAAAAAACAAAAAAACAAAACAAAAAGAGACTGACGCGCGGTAACTCGTCACAGTGTGATCGCGGTATCGATTGTGCTCGTAGCAACACTTGCTTGAGTAGTTGCGTATACGGAACGACATCGACGCTTTGGAGCTCAGATCCTCGGTTTACTCATGTTGGGAGTGCTGAAACGGCGTTGGAAGCCATCAAAAAGGTAAGTCCGAACACTTGTACAAAATACTTATTTATTTTTGCATCAGAAAATCAACAAGAAATCGCACATTGGAAGCCATCAAAAAGGTAAGTCCGAACACTTGTACAAAATACTTATTTATTTTTGCATCAGGAAATCAACAAGAAATCGCACAGACTAGAAACTCAATAACTAACTGGAAATTTTTTCAAACTTTTGTACTTTTTTTTTGTAAATACACTTTTGTTATAATTTTCTACGTTAAAAAGAAAGTGTGACGCGCGCGAGGAGAAAGATTGGTTTCTACCAGTCAAGCCGGCTTCAAGCGAAACTCAGCCTTCGTTTTGATTTATTCATTTCCCCCGAGATGGAGGTCGCGCCTCTTTGAAATTGGCCGCGGTTAATTTCGGGGTTAACTCGCGCGGGTCGTTGTGCGAGATTTGCTCGCTTTAAACCTAACCTAACCTACGCGTACGTGATACTCAACTTGTGCGAATTGTATTTTGCATTAACGACTCGCGCGCATTCTCTCTCGAGGTGTGTCATTTTTGTTCGTTAGAATCTGTCGTACAAGATTAATATGTCGATAGAGTTCGTTCTCTCTCGAAGGGACAAGCGCAACCATATACGCGTACGCGTTTCCTTTACTATCCGCTTTGTTTGCGCGTGATATGTTATGCCTAAACATGGCCGTACATGCCCGCGGGGACCGCAGGTTAATATTGACGGTCGGAGAAATAATCCATTGCGACTCGCGCGCGGAGACGCACTCGCTTACGCGTTGTTGCATAGCTTTGCATAATGAGAGCTCCGTCCCGGGTAATTCGAAAGGATTATCATAACACCTGCTGCGCGGCTGGGCCCTTAATTAATTCCCATCTCGGGTTTCCATCGCGCGCTCGGAGAACGAGGTCTCAACGTTCAGGAAAAAAAAAACGAGAGGAAAAAAACAGCGAGCGGTAATACCGCGGGGGAAAAACTTAGGTACGTGATAACGCGCGCAACACGAGAGAACACGCGACGTCAGAGAGAACATGCGACAGAATTTATAAATTTTCTCATTCAGAGCAATCGTAACGCGCCGCGCGATTAAGACGCTGCCGTTCCCGCGCAGCGGCGCGCGTTATCGCGATTACGTTTCTCGCGAATCAAGAGCATCTCTCTCGCTAATTGAATAAACCCGCAGTCCGGATACATCGCGTGAAATACTTTATTTTATACATCCCGCGATCTCGACAGGAGGGAGCACCCTCCTGTCGAGCGAGAGCGCAATCTTCCTCTCTCAACAAAGTTTTAGCGCGCACGTTTATTCCTTTCAGTGATTTTTTTTTTTTCAATTTTTACAACTTCTAAACCGCAGGTTTATGCAAACGCGAAAGTTGAAGCGTTTATACGCGCAAACCGCATGCAAGAAAAAAAAGGATCAAAGATTGTTTTGAATGGGCCTCTCTCGCGACGGTCGTAAAATCATTTATTGAGCCGCCATCTTATGTATAGCCGTGATAGAGTGAGAACGCGCGCGCGGAGAGGGAGAAAAAATTTATATCACCGATCGGGATTAGTTGCACGAAAGAGAACGGGGGTAACTTTTCTGAAAGCCGTACGGCAATTAATTTGGCGCGCGGCTGCAAAGTTCGCGTCGGCACGCAAGAATTTACGCGCATGACATTCGCGAGAACGGAGATAGATAGAGAAAAAGAGAGAAAGAGAGAGGGAGAGGAAGTGCGCGACGGCGAGGAACTAAGTTTAGAAATATCACCACAATCTCTTCTTTTGTTTTTCTTTTTCTTTTTTTGAGAAAGCGCAACGTTCAGTCGCTCCGCTTTGTGATGTATATTCGGCGTAAAGAGGATGGCAGACAGAAATGCATCTCTCGATCAAATTTACTTAACCGACCGTCAAAACGCATTGAGGAACAGAATGTGAGAAAAGATTTCGAAAATAATTCGCGCGCGCGCACGGTGAATGTGTGGAAAACGTCAAAGCATGTAGAAAGTTTACGGAATGCAATGAAATTAGAGGATACGTTACGTTCGTGGGACGCACCGTGGAGGGATCATTAGCACTTAAGATTTCGCCGGAATAGTCATGGGTTAAAATCAAGACCGGTTTAGAGACACACGTACAAACGATGATCGAATTGGCTGCGAACGAAGTGGAAAACCGTGCGTTTTCGAATGACTTAACTTTTTGCAGTTCTATGTTTTTGTGCGTGTGTCCAAATAATGGTGCGTGTGAGATAATCGCTTATCGAACGACAACAAAAATAAATCCATAGATTTATTCAATGCTGTCAAATTCAAAACAATTAAGTATCTTCTGTATCGAGTAATTTTTTTCGAATTTCTCTCGAACGCATCACGTGGCGCGCGCGTAGAGAGAATCGAAAAAGCTTATTTTTGTTTTTTTTTACTCCAGCTTTTGAAGCGTTCCACACGTTTATCCGCACGTTTGACATATGTTTACAGAGTAAGTTGGGATGTTCGTTCGCTAGGTCATCGCTCGCGCCAATGAGAGTCCGCGTTGCTCGCTGATGTTTTCAACTGCGATTTGTTTTCGAACAATGCCACGGCGTGCAGATACATCGCACGGCGGCGTGTGTTATTAATTGGAAGCGAAACACACACATTTCTGTGCAAAAAATAACTTTCACTCAGATTTGTAACTTTTTCTTTTTTTTGCAGTAAAGAGTTAAATTTTTCGCGCGCAGAGAAAATAGAAATATTTTTGTATTTGCGTCGAGACAATAAATTAATTATTAGGTGTAAATTAGATAAGAATTTACATGGAGATTAACAAAAATTTTTTCGCGCGTGCACCAAATCTTGCGAAATCTTTTTTTAAACGTAATATATTAGGAATTACGACACGAAACGACCAAGACGACAAGAGTACCGCTCGATCTGACCGACTACGAGAATAGTTTTTGGCGTGCGACACAGAAGGCGGAATATATAGGTTACAGATAAAGTATATCATACGCAGGAGAGAGAGAAGTGCAGCAAAAGAGAACGAGCGAGCGATGTCTCAACGAGCCGCTCACGGCGCTCTTTCTCTCGTCCGGAAGTTTCTAGTGACGTGTAGGACGATTCTGATGACACTGTCGCGGTATAAGCGCAAATGTGGACGCGTTTCGTATTTCTGAAAAAAAAAAAAAAAAGAAAGACAAAAACACGTCTGTTAAGGTTTAACATCGCGTTGCAAATAAAAGAGACAAAAAATGCTCATTTTTATCATTACCGCGTGTAAACGGTTATTTTAACAAGAATGGAATTTTAACAAGAATGGAATTTTCTCTCGAAATGTTCTTGTTGCAATTAAGCGTGTGGCTACGTGGGGCTGAAGCTGACATTTTAGAAGATACTTTACTAATTGCAAGTTTCGTTATTTCAACGCTCGCTTCTTTCCTTGTTGCAAAAATATTTCTTCACGAGAAAAAAATTATTTTTAGAAATGTGAGATGTGGGAAAATCGGTGGCTGCGTCGGAATTAAATAGAGCGTCGCGGCCGTAAGTTGGAATTTCTCCGATTTGTGCCGATAACAGCGTGGTGGTAGGTGTTGCGCGCCGACCAATTCGCTAATTGGCGAGAGCATAAATCTATATGCGGCAAATTAGACGAACGCGCAGCCGAATACGGCGCGCGCGCTTATAAATACCAGCATCGCGCGCGGATGCACCGATCTCAACCGCTTTTCGATATAACCGCGACTCTGCCACGCGCGTTTCAATGGCGCGTGGAAGAGAGTAACCTCCCTTTCAGACTCACCAGCAATTCGCGAATCATTTGGATACGGGATGTGCACACGCGGTAGTCATAGTAATTTACTCCCGACGTGAGAAACTCCAAAAGGGCACACGGAGAAAGAAACTTTTAAACGAATCGACCAATCAAAGAAGAAGACCAGGATTTTTCTCCGAATTATCTTCGTGTTTTTTTTCCGATGACTTTCAACGCCACAGCAAGCATCTCTCTTATTTTTCCGCGCAAGTCCGTAAATATTGTTTTCTTTCATTCGTCGAGGTAATTGCACATCTCGCTGAAGTATCTATCAGACGGGCGTCGCGGTCGTTTCTTTCCGGCATGAACACGTCGGCGGGAGGAATAATGTTCCCCAGGAAACGCATGGCAGAACAGTATATGCACGCCTGGCTGCATCTACACGCCCGCTCTCTTTTTCACCATGCGTGTGGTTTTTTCTTTTTTTTTCCTCGCGGCGGAACTAACAACCCCCTAAATGACTCGTTCAAGCCGTCCGCACTGTCGTTTCTCTCGGGGGTGAGAAACGTGCGGGAAAAAAATCTTTGCATTCGGACTGATTTAATTTTTTTGTTTACTTGCACGTACTTATTCGAGGTTTTTGTTTTTGTTGTCCGACGATGCTCGAGATTAGGAGAAAACATTCGAGCTACATGAAAAAAAAAAACGTTATTTACTTCATTTACACTTGTTATGTATCATTTTTCGTCTTGTATAAGAGTTAATCGTGTTGCTTCGAGTTTCGCGTCGCGTATAGAATTACACGCGCGGAAAACCGCAATGTGTCTCGGAAGATAATGTGACTCCGTATTTCCGTTCAAAAATACACACGACCGGTTCTCAGGGGGTTTGAGTTGTCTCCCGTCCCGGGGGAGACAGCTCGACGTGATATTTTAAAGTCCATTCTGCCGGAAGTGGTCGGGCACCGAAAACTGCTTTCGAGTGGCTTACGGTGGTGGTAGTGGTGGCCGATGGTGATGGTGGTGGTGACGATTACCTCCGAGAATACGTGTCCACCCCTGCATTTTGAGAGCAGTCTACCGGTGAAAATTGAATGGATGGGAGGGAAACCGTATCGATTTCTGCTTATTACGTGTGCGGGTTGTTTCCAAGTTTATTTTTATACTCCCGGGGAAAACTCTCTTACGTGCGGCGCTCTACGTATATATTTACCTCTGATTAAAGAACTTTGAGATTGCTTGTGAAATAATAAAAAGCAGCAAGCCGAAAAGCGCTAACGCGCGCGTGCTAGCTTTTTTAAT